GCCCGGCTTTTTTTTGTTTTTTTAAAGGCAGTTAAGATCATCGATTTTTCAGCCTCTCTTCTTCTCTAGTATATGTGATGAATGCTATAAATTTCCCCGTAAGCTTCCTTTTCTTGATATATCATAACTTCATGGTTATTCAGTTCAAAATATATTCCAATTTTATTGTGATTTCTTGTTCAACTCATGGTGTATTTAGAAATGTATTGCTTGATTATCCAGGTGGCCAATATCATCACAAGGGTTCTTTAAATGCAGAAGCAGAGCCTCCAGAAAGAACTTAGCCCTGCTGACATCTTGATTTAAGCCCAGTCAGACCCATTTCAGACTTCTGAACTTCAAACCTGTAAGACATTAAGTTTAGTTACAACTGTAACAGGAAACTCAGATACTTGATATATTTATTGAAGCATCTTCAAGGTGTGGCATTATCTTTATCTTTTTTTTTTTTTTTTTTTTTTGAGATGGAGTCTTGCTCTGTTGTCAGGCTAGAGTGCAGTGGTATGATCTCGGCTCACTGCAACCTCCGACTCCCAGGTTCAAGCAATTCTCCAGCCTCAGCCTCCTGAGTAGCTAGGACTACAGGCTCCTGCCACCATGCCTGGCTAATATTTTTGTATTTTTATTAAAGATGGGGGCTTTACCATGTTGGCCAGGATGGTCTTGATCTCCTGACCTTGTGATCTGCCTGCCTCTGCCTCCCAAAGTGCTAGGATTACAGGCTTGAGACACCACGCCTGGCCAATATTATCTTTTTCTCTCCCATTCCATGGAACTTCAAAATGTGCCCAGTATGTTAAGGAGAAAACTGGCCCTTTGTCAAACTTAGTTCTCTGCTTCTCCCTTCTCACTGGGATCTTGCCTCCACTTCTGTTTTTCCAGCCCCGAGACTGCCATCAGCTCAGTTTCTCTGTAAGCCAGCAGTGGCCCACTGCTCAGGCAAAGGCAGATGTCCCTTGGCCTTGTGCAGAGTGGCTCATCTTTAAATGTTCCGACTCTCCCTTCTCTTATTCATACCTTTGCAAGGAAATAGGGTCTATGAGGATGGAGATCACTTTTTTCTTGTCCAGCATTCTAATCCTAGGTTGGGAAATAGTGTCTAATATAATATTGGGCTCAAAAAATTATCAGCTAGATCAGTAAATGCACACAAATATCTCAAACATGAGTTGAGCAATCTCCTTGGCAGGCCTGTAGACAAAAACTAAATAAAGTCCAGAGGTGATCATTCCCCCTAAGGTTAATTATCCACCTAAAACTAACACAGCTTAAATCCAATAGTGGCCACTGTGTCCCTGACCCTAGATTAGATCAAACTCTGAAAACTTCATGTGTACTGGGACAAAGTCATATTGCAAAGATAGGACATCCAAAGTGCTAAAGTCATTTCTGTGCTTTGGTACAGGCTCTCACAAATAGCAAAGCAGAAGGAAGGCTAGATGCTTGTATGGTGGGAAACAGTTCAAAAACTTCATGGCAAAGATGGTCTTTGGAAAACTGGGAATTTATAAATTTATTATTAACTGTGTACTGGGCACCGTGGTAAGTGCTTTCCAAATGTTAATTGATAGTAACCCCACAAGGCTATTGCCATCCCCTTTTTGTACAAAGAGAAAGTGAAGCACAGAGAGGTTAACCAGTGACTTGCCCAAGGTCAGGTAGCTAGTAGATGTCCAAGCTGGCATTCAAACTAGGCAGGCTGCTTCCATAGTCCATGCTCTTCCTCATGTGGCCTCTGGCATTTGTCTCTGGAGCAATTTCACACTTTTCCAAGGGATCTTGAAGTAATAATGGCATGTTTTGCAGGGGAGCAACA